TGAATGTAAAACACCGTAAAATATATGCGCAATAAGGGATGATGACTGTTCCCCAAGAAATCTAATGTGTAGCAGTTAAAAATAAAGAAGCAAATTTTTTAGAAATGTTAATGTAACATTGTTACAATTATTATTAATAAAATGATAACTTTTTATCACCGTAACTAAAATGTACCGTAAATATAAAGCGTATTACAATGTTTTTCTTTTGGCTCCTAGAAAAACTATTCTCACCAATGTATCTATAATTTATAATATTTTTTCTAAATATTATTTTATTAAGTGTCTCTGGACTCGAGTATGCCACAAGCCACAAAAGTCTTTATCCAGTGTTGGATAAGTTAGTTTTTTTAAACTAAGTTAAGTAAAATTAATAGGTTATAAAATTAATTTAGTTACAATAAAAGTTGCATGAACACAAACTCAGTTAAAAGTTGCGTTAAGATTAAATTAGCTTAAGTTAAATTAAAAGTTAATTTTTGATAGCATTATTTATGTTAAATTAGAATGTCGTAATTTTTTTAAATTTGATTACTCTAAATAACAAAAAAATTACAATACGGATCATCAAATAAATGTAATATTTTATTTGTAAATTAAGTTTATATATAAAATAACAGAAAAATTTTGTTTTTTATATTATCATCTTTGGACTGCGTGTCACGCCCATCACAATCATTGAGCTTTTTCTAAACTAATATTGTCCAATGGTCAAGATTTTCTAGGAAAAAAATATTGGCGCTCAGATATAAAAAAAATTTTTTAACTTAGAAAAAAAGTTAATAAGTTCAAGTTTGTGTTTTAAAAATAAAACTAGTTGAAGTTAAAAATTAACTCATTTTAAATTAACTGAGCAAAGTTAAAAGTTATTAACTTTTTTATTTAACTTGTATAACTAGTTAATTTCAAATATTTGTACCACATGCAATTGTGTATGTTTTTCAATATTTTGTACATATTACATATTGCATATTACATATCTGTAACGTTAGCGCGATGTATCAGTATTTTTGATATTTGAGGAATCTTGAACTACTTCTAGATTCATGGTAATTACTATGCTATTTAAATAGCAGATCTAATTTTATATTTTTATACTGCAAGTAATTACTCCAAATACAATTGTATGCTTTACACATATTATATAATATGTAATAAGAATTTATTAGTCTGCCATTTCTTCCATGTAATTATTTCATATACAAAATTCAGAACTTACAAAGTAGGAGAAATTGCCGTGCAAATACAATATAATAGAGCGCGTCGTCAACAAAACAGATAAAATAAATTGTTATTATGTTAGATCCTAAGAGACTTGTCCCAAATTCGTGATAAACATTCATCCATCGTGTGCGGCTGCTATTCGTCATTTTCGCTCATCCATTCCGCCCACAGGGTTCTTCCCCCATCGAGCCCTCGCTCGTCCGACGATAATCCGTCATTCCGACGGCGCGCGGTGCGGCGGCGGACAGGGGAAATCGGAGGAAGGTGAGAGGGAGGAAGGGAAGGTAGAAATTGAAATGCTAAAAGCGAAATTGGGTAGGAATTAGGAAAAACGCTGCGAGATGGGACGGTGTTTACCCGCCGTTGCTGGAAGGGCGCGCGAAGGTGGGCCCCCATGGCGAAGTCGGAGATTTCTCCATCCCTCGTCGAGAGAACGAGGACGGGGGTTGGTGCTGGCCACCCTTCCTTGCCCAGTGGCTGCTGCATGCCCGATGAGGGCGAGGGCGAGGGCGATGAGGCGGGGGCACCGTGTTAGCGTGGCAAAGGGGAGACCAGATCGAAACGTTGGGGGTGAGAGGGTCGGCTACGGGGTTGCGACGCTGGAGCGTGCTCCGAGTGCCGCGTAAATAACTTCCATCTTCGAGGGTGCAGCCGCCCCTGCGCGGGAGGCGAAGGAGGAAGATGAGGAAGAGGAGGAGAAGGAAGAGGAGGAGGAGGAAAAGGAGAAGGAGGACAACTCTCGAAGCCGAGGGCAAGAAAGGGCGAGAAGAAAAAGAAAGTCCGAGCGTGGGGGTGAGAAAGAAGAGAGCGGAGATGGCGCCCGGTTATAGGCAACAGCGACGTCGATCGCGTAGCGTGTGGGAAGGTGGATGTAAAATATTCTTAATGAGCAAAGACTTTCAAGTATTGACTCAAAATGGCGGCTGTCCTTTCAAGTCGGCTTGTTAAGCATTATCCCGCACCGCGGTGGCCTCTCTCCTCATCCTTCGCCCACGCGCTTTTCTTTGTGCCACCATCACCCCGCCGGTTGTTCCCCCTTCTCGGCGTTACTTCATGTTCCACTGTCCCCATCATCGGGCACGCTGTTCGGAAAAATTGCGGAGGGACGACGAAAAGTCAGCCTCGCTCGACAGCTTCGCTCGCTACGAGCGAACGTTTGAAGAATTGTGAAGTCGTGTCACAAATATTAATATTTTATATCACTATATCTACATTGAATATATTTATCATATTTATCATATTTCTGTATTTTTATGATATATATTAATTTCTAATTGAGATTTTTATTAACATATTATTATTATTCATAATACTTCTTCTCCATGTTATCTTTTGAAAAACCGGATAATAAAGCTGTTGATACATTAAATTTAAATCTTCGTGTGTACAAAAAATAAAACAATTTGCAAAAATGTTATAATTAAATAGATTGAACTAAAAATTTTCATAATCAAAAAAGCAGTAAAAAATATTTAAACGAATAAAAACTGTCATTATTTCTAGACGACATCGTACTTCAACTTCATCAAATTTTAATCAGGATGTTCTCCTTATATTTTAATTGACAAGTTCTTTCATCAATTTAAAATCGATTTCTTCTTAAAATTATGGAAATCTTTAACGTAGAAAATTAAAGGTATAGGAGATTATGCTTTAAGAAAGTAAATAGCTTAGTAAAAAAAAATTATATTTGTCGATACCAAAAAGATTTACTTTAACAGCAACTTTATGTAAATATTACTTGCTAGAATAATTATTTAAAAATTGGAAAATTATGTAAAAAATAACATTTGTCCATCAAATTTTTCTTAAGATTAAATTCGATTATAAACGCATCAAGAAATCTCTATTTAAAATGATTTTTCGGTAGATGCGATATACCTTGCATTAAATAAAGTCTTAATATTCTTATTGACTACCAAGGAAGTTTCGAAGACCCAATTCCTTGTGGATTCAAAGCTGGTCCTCGAAAGATGCAAGCTACCAAATCCTTTTCCACAGAGGCTCACGCGCGAACGGCTCGCCGAGTGGATTATCCTGAAGGAAAGAGGACCGGTGGCCTTGGGGGTACACCTTAAGGGTTGTTAAAACTTGGCTCTCTCACTTTGAGCCTTTCTCCTTGTCTACGCGGGGGGCCGAAGTAAGGGTTAAAAATGTATAAGATAAGACAGCGACAAGAGAGGTGCGTAAGAGTACGCGCGCGGGGGGTGAGAAAGCAAGGACCGAGGGAGAGACTGATGGGAAAAGAGCAGAGACAATGCGAGACAGAAAGAAAAAGAAAGAGAAAGAAAAAGGAGAGAGGCAGTGAGAAGAAAGGCAAAGAGAAGTTTCATTATTGATCAAAGAAACCGAGTGTCGCTTCCCTCTCCGATAGCTCATTCTATTCAGGCCGTCTTCGACTTCCCATGAAAAATGCCGGCTTTGCCTGCTTATTTGTAACGCAACCACGACCTGCAGGTACACGCTACACGATGCTGCAGTGTATTTTGCGTATACAGGGTGACCTAAGAAAACGACCAAAGAGTTAATTTAAAAAAATCCATTATCATGAGTCTGGAAATTAATATAAAAATACAAGGCAAAATAAATAATTTTATGAAGATTCTGCAAAAAAAATAAATTTTTAAAAATTGATGGAAACTTCTATAAAATATATTATTAATTTCCAAAAGTAGAAAATTGATTTTAAAATTTCTTAATTCGTTTTTAATCGCTTCCTACCATATATTATTCATCTTTAATCTAAAAAATAAAACAACATGATTAAAGATTAATTTACATATGTGTTGGTTACAAGTTACAATTATTATCATTCGCGAAATAATTTCTCTTCTCTTCAGTAGAAATTATCTGTAAATGAAATACATTAATTCTTAATATTACTAAGCAACTATACGCAAAAAGATTTATTGCCATAATACATAACGTAATACAATTCGTTTCTTATAGTTAAAGTATCATCAAATTCAGATAATTCTACAATCCATAATTTCTGCTTATTATTTTATACATAAGTACTGCCATTTTGCGCTAAAATGCATACAGTTCAACCACTTTTATCATATGGTTTATTTAATTGAGTGTTATCAACATATGTTTAAATAAAAGCTCGCGACAATTGTATTTTTTCGTGTTTAGTTAAATAAATTTCATATTCTTTAATTTTCCAAATCAAAGTTCATTAATTTAATATAGATTTTATAGTTTTATTTAATCAATACTAACTTTACATCATTTTGTGCTCACTTTCTTTTTATGATGTATTGACGTTATATATTTAATTATACAATAATATAAAATATATGTACATATTTTTCGATAGATTTTATTAATCTTTTAATAATGTCCTAATGTCCTAATGTTTCACAAAACAGAATACTATATTTCTGTTTAATTAGATATAAACATTCAAACTTGCATTATATAGTGATTATAAATATAAACAGAGAATTCATATATTTAAAAATTTGGAAAGAATCAATATATATATATATATATATATATATATATATCACTGGAAGAAAAGAGCAATAAATTCTGAAACAATCTATAATACTTATATTGATTACTTAAAATCAATACATTTTTAAAGTATTACTATATATTATATAATAATTTTATATTATAATTGTAATATTTCTAAAAAAAATATTTAGAAATGTTTTAATGTTTCAAAAAAAAGACATTAACATTTATACTTATTGAAATATCTTTATCTACACATATCTCTGACTTACCAAAACTTAATAATTAATTACTACAAGTTTTATGTAAAAAATAAGCATATTTGTAGCAATTATTGAAAATTTTTTCTGAAGAATTATGTAATTGTTAGTATTTTTACAGTTTAATGCTAAAGCAGTACTGATAAATTAATCAAATATTTATACCAATTAAAATAATTATGTATCTTACATACAAATTATTTACTAATACAACCTTACCACATAGATTATTTATACAATTTGCATCTATTATGTGATGATTTCATAATACATTACATGAATTTGCAATATGAGTTATTATAAAAATATAACATTTAAAAATATTGTACCATTTATATGTGCATCTTCATTCAGATTTTAAGAGTTTCATTGCTGACTTGTCTAATGTATTGTACATTATTAACAGTAGTAACTTATAACTATTTTTCTCTGGGAGTACTCTTCATTATGACTATATGAAAGCTTTCTTCGCAAATACATTCTGTATATAATACATATATCCTTGTATCAATAACATATTTTATATTATAAAATCAAACCAATAGCTATGTTTGATAGAACCATGCTGTACATTCATAACAATAGTTTATTTAAAGTATCAAGACCCTATAAAAATCTAGTCAGACGGTTCCACTTGATGCCTGTTAAATTCTAGTATCGTATTTGTATCATTTTGTAATTCGCTGTTAACTGCATCATTGCAAATACATACTGAGTCTGAAAGACTTCCACCTGAAAATAATATAAATAATATAAATTATTAACATATGTTATTATATAACATACAGATCCAGATAGATAAAAAAAATCTGCAGCTAAATATACAATATCAATTCATGTATAAATATACAATAATATAAACATTACACACATAAATTATATTATTATTGTATTAAAATCGTAAATTATTTTTTGTTCGAAAAGATTCTATGTTTTTAAATTGATTAATTCCTATATTTTATATTTCTCCAATAAACAAGTAATATTTAAATAATTAACATATTTCATTTTATCAAACATAAAGAAGATCCTTGTTTCCATGTAATGACAGGATATGACAAGACTTCTAAAGTGAAATAAACAGTGGAGTACACACACAACCAATATACATCCATTGATTAAAAAAACAACAGATAACACATAAGCAATCTTTCAAGCATCTATATAAAGCTAGAATGCTAAAATCCATATATGATAAAAATGAATAGCAATAATATTGTACAACACCAAGCATAAATTGTGCGTAATGCATCTTGAAATCCCATCTATTCAGTTTTTAATATAAATATATTTATATATATTGACAAATTTGTAAAGCAAAAACATATAGATACAAACATATAGACACATTTACAAAACAAATCATATAATTAGATTGCATTAATAAACTCGATTATGGGTTTACTATATCCCAATTACAATTTAGTTATTTAAAAACATACATGCACCATTGTACCATATCCACATAACATACATCCACAGATATACATAAACTAAAGTCTATTAGTTGTGTTACATTCCACACATAGATTTATAGGCAAGCTTCATCAGTCTAAAAGATGACCTCACATCACTTTGATATTAAGTTTTAATATCATTATAAGTATTTGTATACAATACTTTACTCAATAAATACTTGTAAAAAAAAACAATTTTTTAAGTACTAATGTTAATTCTAATAATAGGAATATCAAGCCTGAGCTATATTTTATCTATATTATAACTATTTAAAGATATAATTATATAATCGAATTAAGTTGTTGTATATAAGTTTTGTGATTGTTAAAAATACCTAAATGTATAGATAGTAGAAGAAAATGTTTAATTATCTATTAAGTTATATTTTCTATTTATGATATCCATGGGCAAAACACAATGTCAAGACAATATAAATAACGAAAAAGCTCCATATTCCTGAGTTTGAAATTCCTCATGCATCTTTAGAAAATAATCATAAAAATAGAAAAGAAAAATAGAAAAATACTTTTAGAAATTCTAAACTAAAATTGTAATAATTTTACAAAATCCAATGTAAAAAATATTATGAAATGATAATTGATAATCAATTTAATTGTTTAATCAGTTTAATTTTGTTTTAAATATAATTTAATTTTATAAAAATATACAAATTTTTATTTATAAGATCAACCAACATATATTTCTTAAATAAATTTAATTCTTTTATTTAATATATACAGCTAAATATACTGAACTTTGAATCTTATTTGATAAAGAGATGTTGATGTTGTTTTTTCGTAAGTACCCAATAACTTAAATTCTTCAAGAATTAAGAATAAATATAGTAATTATAAATAATAGATAACTATAAATGACAATTAGAATAGAAATCTAACTATTAAGTCATGTACAATATAAAATATGTATAAATATATCAAATGTATCATATTGACTAATCACAAAATTTAATCTATGCACTGCGATAATGTTTTTGTAAAATAAATAATTTAATAAATAGATATACATATCTATTGTGGAAATATATGTTGATATAGGTATCTTTTTCTCAAAATATTGTTTAAATTAATTTATGAACATATAATATAATAAAGACAAACAATAAAGTATCACAGAACAGAAAATTATCACTACTTATACAAAACCAGATTAAATTGATTACCAAATTAAATTAAAAAAAAAAGAATGAAATCATGAAAATAAATTATATACCAGGTATACAGCACATTATCAGGCGAGGCCCAGTGGTGATCTATAAATGCGTTGATTCAGCTTGCCCATTATTCTTAGTATCTAGATATTTGTCTGTAAGAAAGATGTTTGCATATTATATAAAAATAACTACATGCACATTCCGGACTAAACCATGTAACATATACCATGTATCGCTTATGATAAATATAGCCCATTTCTGAAAAATGTTCTAATAACAAAAATAATAAACTATTAATTATTTTATATAAATCAAATATTAAATTATCAAAATATAAATATATTGTACAATTGTAAAAATTATAAAATAACTTGAAAAATAAAAAAATTTCAACATATATTTCTTGATTTTGTACAAAAAATTTTTATACAAAATGCAGTTTGTCATTTTGAAGACATAATTAAATATATAATTGTGCTAAAAAATTAAAAAAAACAAAGGACATAAAGCTTCTCTTATGCCTATAACAATGTATGTGGAATGTTTCAACTGTCCTATATAAATTAAGATTGTGAAAATAGATTATATTTTAAAGACAGAATAATCTAAAAAAATAATTATTATCTAATTATAAAAAGATAAATATTATAATTATAGTATCGCAATTTTGGTTGTAAATAATAATAATAATAATAATAAATAAATGTATTGATTCTGTATTGATATCTATATAAAATTGTATATACGAAAAACTAAAAAGCTACACAACAAGATTAATAAATAATAAGAAAATAATTATTTATCAATCTGAGATATATCACCAGCGTATATAGGTATAAATTTAAATATGTTACTTGTGGATTGAGAACTGTGTATAATAAAATTATTTCTATATTAATATTAATCTTTGATTTGTGCGTTCTTTAACACGTTAAGCACCATTGTTAAATAGATTAATATCATAAATATAAACATGGAAATTTATAATAAATTTAATATAATTAAAAACTATTAACTTTCAAAAAACATATTACATATCTCTAATGTTAAAAGACATTTAATATAAATACATAGATATCTTACTCTTTAACATATATTTTGGTGGAACATAAAATAAAAATTCAAAACTATATTATAACGATCAAAATTATTGCATATAAAACAATTCATCATAAAAAAATAAATATAAAAAAATATTTAATTTTAACAAGTTAAGCGCCACGGTTAAAGATACAAAAAATTGTTCAAAAATGTAAAAAAGCAGATAGATATATCTATAATTATAATTTTTTAGAAAAGTTACAATTATAATTAAAAATAATTATACATTTAATAAGTTTTTGAAAGTTTTGGCCTAAATATTTTTTATAATTTTCTTATTAAAAAATTTTATAATTAAAATTAAAAAAATTAATGTAATAAATAAATAAAATGTATAAATAAAAATTAATATTTTTTCCACTTCTCCTTGCAATCTTGTAAAATATTTTATATATATTTCACATTATTACATTGAATTACATTTAAATATTTACATATTTTTAAATATATTTTTTATATATTGTTTCATATATTATCACGCAATATATTTCAATATAACAGATAAAACTTTTTGGCGCTTAACGTGTTAAATAATACTATAATTAATAAAGGTAGATATACTACCTTCTTTTTGGTCCCAAAGCTTGTGCTTGTAAGTCCAAAGTTGCGAACAATTCATGCACTGTGCAAAAATAGAATTAGTTTTAGTAGAGCTGCAAATTTTTATTTCACATTCCAACCAGACCTAAACTACAGAGGTAATATATGCATATATGTTAGTTTATTAATGCGATATAGCATTATTGTACGTTAACAATTAATCAGCTATTTGATTATTCAATAGCTTAATATATGTATTGCACTTACCAAATAATGCGTGAGCATTGATATCGATGCTTTACTTAATAATAATGTTTATATGCAAAATATTTGGCACTAAATATAAAAAAAAATTACTCTTGCGAAAACCCACATTTATACTTGCGCTAATGTATTTTATACATAAGAAAAAGTTATAACAACATTATTCATAACAATATTAGTGTATATACATATTTATATGTCAAACATCAAGCTGTATTAGTGACGATTTCAATTGTAGACATGCAAAACACAGTGCGGTATTTAAACATCAATTTTGTCTTACTGTCTAGTATGCATATTATTTTACTTACCCGCGATAGCAAGGTCGACTAATGCCTTATCCTTCTGTATATGCAATGCTGTTAGGAAGAAGAATAGAGCACCGAGTACTTCGACAAACATTGTCAGAAACATTGCATATTGTAGGCTACGAAACTCGACAGCTACATTTTGATTGTCATGAACACTAGATTGTTCTCCTACAGCTAAATCTGACAAGAACGATGACTTTAATCCTTCTGATATCTAAAAGAATATTAATAATTAATTATTTGTGATATTAGTAGTTGTGAGTTGATTTCTATTGATTTCTATAATACATACAAGTCCAATAAGGTAAGGACTGCCTGCATCTCCGAGAGCATGTGCAATGAGTATTTGGAATGCCTCTGCTGTAGATCTTCTTGTGGGAATTACTACATACTGCAATATAATTAAAAAATTAAATTTATTGAAGTATAAATAAATCATAAGAGAAATATATATAGATATGTTGTATTGTCACTTACCAGTAATATATCAGCTACAATAGCCCAATTCAAATTTAATGATAACTGACCAAAGAATACTAATGTATAACAAAGAGTAGGATTTGTATTGGCAGTAATCATAGCGAAGAATAATAAAGGAGCACTTATTAGAAGACCTACAGCGCATATCAGAGGATCAGCTTGTTGCCAATAAGTTCGTAATTTTTGTGCTATAGTAGAGCCTAAGGGTACACCTATTAAACCGGATGCCATACCGATTAATCCAAACTTATATGCAACACTGAAACATTGTAACAATAATTATATAATTATATAATTATATATTTTTACAATATAATAAACACACTACAATAAATGCTAAAAAACATACTCGTCTGGATCAACATTCGCTCCATAAGGAAGTAATTTAAAACCTAATTCTAGATATGTTGGCGCCCACCACGCCAGCGCACCAGTGACAAACGCCACGCAAGTAAATCCTGCAGTAGACAGCATAAAGCTCGAACTGAAAATCATGTCAATAATATAGCAAATGTAGTATTAACTACAAATTATAAGGAAAAAGTAATATAATAACTTCGATTATCTGTCATCCTATTTACCATCAATCTTTATAATCTTTATAACTTATTGAACCAATAAAAAAAAAAATAATTAAAATTTAATTAAATTTGATTAAGTTATATATTATATAATAAAATAAACAAATTAAATAAATCAATCTCTATTTGAGATATATATGTACAGATGATTCACTTAAATGTTAACACATTTATTATCTTATTTGAATCGTTAAAGATATTAAGATGCGGTTTTCATTGACAATGAGATAAACTAGATAAAAAAGCTATTAATTTGCCAAATTACAGTTTGTTGTAGAACTTTTATTTGCAAAAATTCTGACTTTTATTTGATTTTTTAAATGTATCTATGTTTTTTTATGCAGCACATTAAAGTTGATTGAAATACGAATAAATAGATATAACATTTGTTACATTTTAACAAATAAATAATTATTGCAAAAACAATGTTAGTAAGTTCGAACATTTTGCGACATGTCTACCGCCGCATAGAAGGTCACAACTTCGCGCGACTGAGAAGTCTACTCATGACTCAGACCACTCAGACCGTCAAGGTGAATTGGTCTGTTAATATGACTACATATTTGTGGGCTCAAGTATCTCTTTTGTAAGTTTATAGGAATAAAATATCTGTTTTGCATTACATTTATCAACATGTTACACAGTTGTTTGGACCCTATCATATAATACAGAAACTTAGAAAGTGATATAAAGAAATAAGCATAGAATGTGACGAAATAATGGAAAATAACTAATTTTAATCATTAGTATACATTCCGTTTCCGTTTTGTAATTTGCATTGCAAATCTAAAATATATACTAGTGACGAACACAGATTAGCTGCTTTACTACGCAATAATTATTGCTGCGTCTTACTTTGACTTGAGATTTGAATGGGTAGATTTCCTATTTGCATGAAGTAAGATCTCTGTCAATAAAAATTCTATTTAAAAAATTGCAATTTGGCAAATTAGTAGCCTCTTTATCTAGTTTATCTCAGTAAAACTGCATCTCAATATCTTTAATAGGTAGGAGAAAATAGGTGTGTTAACTCTTAAATAAATGTGTGTATGTGTATGTGTGAGTATGCGTGCGCACACACACGCATGCACGCACACGTGAATGTACATTATATATAGATATATATATAGACGTGAACTTTGTGCAATAGAACTTCAATTATCTGTCTATTGCACAAAGTTCACGTCTTATCTGAACAATTAATAATGGAACAATATAAATCACTACTATAATAAAAAAGCATTAATAAATACGTTCTACTCGTTATTATAATAGCTTCAATCAAAAAATATAATATTGATAATTACTTTTTTAATAACTCCTTGATATCATACGACCATGTAGTACTTGTCAAATGAACGCCTCCTTCTCGTTCACCTCTGATAGGATCTCTTACTACAGTGAGTAACAGAAGAATCGCTACAATACCTAATATAGGAGTAATACGTAATCCCCACTGCCAGTGACCAGAAATACGAGCTGTTTCACCTCCCGTAATATATCCTAAACCACTGAAATAATACACATACATTTAACAGAAGAGTATTAAGAAATATATATTCTAATCTATATATATTCTAAATGCAGCGGGTAATCAACATACCTTCCAACTGGAATAGCAAAGTAAAATAAGGCGAGCATCTTAGAACGCACATCTTTTACAAATAAATCGCTAATAATCGTTGGTGCGATTGTAGAGTAACTAGCTTCTCCTATGCCAACAAGTGCTCTAAAGAATAGGAACCATCCAAATGTCTGAAATAAATTAAAAATATTACACATAAGACATATACTTAATAATTTTTGCGTACGGCAAAATTAGATGCGTTAATGCATTTAGATGCATTTTTCCATGTTAATATTGAATTGAACAAAAGATTCTATATGAAAAAAGATATACTTGCTTTCATGTAAGAACCAATAAATGTCGTTAGGCACCATAGAAATACGCCACTGCTCATAATAAACTTTCTATTATAACGATCTCCCAGATATCCGAATAACGGCGCAAACACCATGTAGCTCAAAATGAACGCTGTTTGCAGTAGTCCAGACTTATCGTTGCCGATATCAAAGTCATGCTTGATATCAGGCAGTACACCTAAAATAAAACATGAGTTTTTTAATCAATAAACTGAGAGAAATAATGTTTCCTGTCCAAGAGATCACTCTTTCTCTCTCTCTCCCTCTCTATCTCTCTCTTATGATGTTTCATCAATTTGCAAACATTTCATCAGAAATGAGAAATCTATAAATTCGAAATTTTTCGTAAGGCAAAGCGAGACTCACCAGCGACCGTAAAACGGTCCATGTAATTTATAAGATTCACGAAGCAGAGAACCACGACTGTGATCCAGTCGGCCGCGCTGATCGACCTCAGCTCCGACGGCATCGTTGCTTTCACGCGCGTCTCCCTCGGGTCGTCCTGATCCGCATTTACCGCACGATACTTATTTTCCGTGTTGACGGGCGCACGATCGTCTACCATGGCGCGACAAGTTCCTCGGTAATCTCGCCGTTAATCGCGTCGCACTGTTCAAAGCAATGTAATTCATGAGTTCAGCAAATTATCGCTGATTTAAAAGCTACCTCAATTCGGCATTGTCAGTTACCCCGCGACAAGACATAACCTCAAAGCCCGCCGACGTTGCCCCGCCGCGCGATGACAAAAAACTGTTTGCGAGCAATGCGAGCATCTTCGAGCGTCACAGTGTGCGCATCACACCACCTCTGATTGAACTCCAAAGTGGACAAAAGTGGGATTGTGATTGTGCGAGCGATCGAGAGCACGCGTGTCTGTATGCGTGCGTGCGTAAGTATGTATGTACGTCGGTACGTATATCGTACATATACTCCGCGCTGGCGCGCACGCAAAATATTCCGTTCTCGCGCCGCGCGCGTAAAATCCGTATGAATCCGTACAAGACAAGCCGCGTCGCCGCGGCGTGCGGTATAATTGCGTTGCACAAGTCAAACGTAAACAGCATAGATCGAGCGGAATTAATTGGAATTGATCTCCGCCAGCTGACACTTTACGGCGTCGCGGGCAGCGCGGGTCGCGCGCGTGGCACGGCGAGCGAGCGCGGTTTTTAATTCGTACAACGCGATTCCGCAGGATTCACCCTTGGGCCTTGGACTCTTCGGACTGGCGCTTGAGCCAGCTTGAGCGAAATATATCGTTTGTTCGCCAGTCCGTTAATTTCTGATCAATCCCGGATCCCGGGGGCGGGGATTCACGCTAATCACAGCGCCCCGTTGCGTTCGAGCGCGTGTGGCGAAGCGAGGAGGCGGATCGCGGCAAAGGGGAAGCTGGACAAGATCGGAGTATCAGAGAGAGATCATTGAACCGCGGGAGCGAGGAACGCGAGGAGTCGCGACTCGACGAGGGAGAGATCTGTCGACCTGCGCTTAGCCCACGGCTGCAACGTACCTTGACTGCACGTCGCGTGTTTACCTGGACTCTGGACTCCAGATTGCTAGTTCGCAATCCGCTGGTAAATATATATCACGATATATCTTGTTTGCCGAGCAGAAAACACAGACATTCGAAAGGCAGTGCGAGTAACGCGCTATATGCACCTTTGATTGACACACCAGTCCGCAGGAAAATGTTCTCGGCTCGAAATGGGACCATACAGGCACCTAATTTAATGTCGGACGAACCGGCGTGTGTACGTGGGCGGTGGGCGTCAATTCAGAAAGAGTGGTGTAGGTTATGCATACATTACTATCTCACGTCATCTCACATATAATTGCCTTGTTAAGGGATCTTGGCTTAGAAGAAGCCTCTTCTTCTGAGAACTCTCTTTTAATTAAGATATGAGGCACATGATGCATTTGTCCATACCCAGAGGATAGCTCCAAATTTCGATGTCGCACCAGGGTCAATTATATGCTATCGTTTGAATTATATTCTTTTGGCTCTGGAAACCTAAGCGTCTAGTGCGTTACTTGCAATGTCTAAAATGAGAGTATAGAATTCAGCAATCATGAATTTATTCGCATCTTATGTATTTAATTTTTGCAGGATTAATATATTCGTAAACAATGGATGACTCTCCACTGCAAAAAGTGGAGCTGCAAACAGACGTCTACATGGTGTGTTTGCAGCATGCATTATCCACAGAGAACTTTGAAGTAATGGGTTTACTTATCGGTAACGTAAGTGGAACTTGCTACTACTTTATGCTCGATATTCCTTTATTATTTCTTATACAATTGATAAAGCAAATCATTAATTATCCCCCTTTTAGTTTGCTTGTGGAGTAGCAAAAATATCAGCTGTTATTATTTTGCGACGTCTAGATAAGAAGAAAGACAGAGTAGAAATTTCATCAGAACAATTACTAAAAGCTGCTGCCGAAGCCGAACGATTAACCGTAGAATTAAATCGACCTATGCGTGTCCTTGGCTGGTATCATTCGCATCCACATATTACAGTTTGTCCATCACACGTTGGTGTGTATCACAAATATTTCTCTCGTCAAAATGTTTGAGTACAATGTAATTTACATTCAAAATTTTTACATTAAATTTTTGTCTTGCAGATGTCAGAACTCAAGCTACCTATCAAACAATGGATCACAGTTTTGTAGGCTTAATATTCTCAGTGTTTTCAGAGGGCAAAGAATCAAAAGTAATATATATTTTCGTTATATTAATTTCTGCATCAACAAACGAAACTACAACTATTGATGTGGCCTATATGGTTTAAAATTGTTAATAATCTGAATATAAAACTTCCAGTGCATGTAACTTATGTAACAAATAATCTATAGAATGTTTAAAGTTGTTGATGTACATAAATGATATAATAATGATTTTTTTTTTACTTAGGAACACGAAATCTTCTTAAATTGTTTTCAATCAGATAATGGTGAAGCTACAGAGATACCATTAGAGATAGTACATACTCCAGATATTTCAGATAGATGTTTAAGAGTAAGATTCTAATTTTTTATATTATTATAGAGAAATTTAGATCAAAGAAAGCTTTTTATTTGAAATTAAATAATATTGCAGACAATGACAGACCTGTCAAAAATTTTGGTGCAAGAAGAAGAAGATATGGCTGAAGCCTGTAAAGATCATCCAGATGTCCTCGCCAGTATTCACAATGACGCTGGTATGTTTTTGTTTATTATACATTTTATAAATTAAATATACATACTTATAATTAAAATAATAGTTTTTAATATCTGACAAAAGTAGATAACAAATCGATAAATAAAGATAATTTTTATTTGCAGTCAGGACACGTGCGTTAGTTCACATAACAGATATCATTACAAAGCCTTTGGTACAAACGTTTGAAAAAAGAATAGCGTTAAATAAATCGCGTAGTATACATCTCCGAAGACAACTACAAGAATTACAAAAGATGTGCAGTGGATAAAAATACTTTTTCGGAATCAATAATTTCTTACAAATGAATAATTTGTTTGCTCTTTAAATAATAAGCTCTTATGTAATAAAAACAAGATTTTAAAAAATAAATATTTAATTAAATTAAAATTGATTACATATGTTAGTAATTTAGCACTTTTTATTTATTTAGGAGGGACTCCTAGGTAGTCCTGAGTACTTACTACTTAGAATGTTCCAAGCCTGGGTACTCGTCGCAACCATGTTAGAATCGTAATGTCAGAAGCGAAAAATGACACGTTGAAAATTCTTGCATGGTATCTCCAAATAAAAAGATATTTGCTTAAATTAACACTAGATCACTTAGCACATTTAAAAAATAATCCGAGTTGCATCCCTTTTCCCTTACCAAAGGGAAAAGAATAGATATGATATATTAAAAGTTTTATTGCGTCTACTATATACTCTTTACCGTTTGTATTTTCTCATTTATTTGGAATAACGAATAGAAATTTCTTGTCATTAATAATGTTTATTTCAAGCAAATAAAATATTTTATTTAAAAAGATCCTATATGCATGTAAAACAATATTTCTTAATTATAAAATCGTTATAATGTTTATATACTATATAACTAGTATAGATTGTAGAATAATTCATCTATATAAGCGAAAACCTTAAACTGAAAAAAAGATGAAAGAAGGAAAGGAGACCGAGGGGTTCATAACTAGAAAAAAATTTGTACATCGGATTTCAGAGGAAGGATTTCAGGGGGTTTCACTGAATTTTAGCCAGATTTCATGATGGCCTGTACATACACCGAATTTGAATAGTTGTAACCCCCTCGGAAGAGACTTGAAAAAATTCAAGTAACATTATCAGGAAAAACAACTTATTATTTATATATTAATTATTAATTGCAGGATTATCCATTATAAACGAAAATTATACTCATAATTCGTTTGTATACGCATTGACACACGGACTCGAGATAAATAAGTCGAGTAGATTTTTTCATCGTTTCGCTCGCGCGAAGACTAATTGAAGAAAAATAAAATAAATTATAATTAATCCTCTAAACACTCGGACTGTTGAAAACACGCAATTTCTGCCATGGTAGCTACTCACGGTACAATATAAAACGTACAACAAAAGAACAGGTAATCGATATCGTAAATCAAGCAACAATAAAATGTGGCAAAAATATCAATTTAAACTGTTTCTTTCAAATCATTAACGTACAATCAAAAGCAGATTTGAAAAAACTTATATTTATTTTGTTATAATTATTAGTAATTATCTGATAATTTTATTTATAAAACAATTTATTTAAAACAAATTGTCTATCGCCTATTATTCTCAGTAAGTTATATCACCTGAGAGAGAACAAAAGATCAATCAACATTTCTTAAAACATACACTGAAGAGCTGTTCTACAATACACATATAAAAATGCTTGTTTTGAAAATTATATTACTTATTTATAAATATTTGTAGATTTTACATATATTTAAAATACAAAAGATATTTACATATGTTTAATAAATACAAATCATAAATATATACATATCTCCTCCTAAAGAGGGAGACTTTAGTGTTACGATTCTATTCACAAAAATAGATATGTATTCGCAACAATTTAATATTTTTAATTATTGTATTAATATTCTTGCTTTGTACATTTTAATAAATTAGTAATACAAACAAACGCGAATCTTTTAGTGATTTTTATTTTACTTTTCTTGAACAAAGATCGGGCAATAATTCTATATTTACATTACAAGAACAACAGCATATTTAAATAAACTTAAATGTATTCAAAACATAGATTCTGCAGAACGAGAACAATTTGTAGGATTGGAGGAACTACGCGCTAACATTTTGCGAGGCAGCCTTTTGAGTAGATTTATTATCTCTATAAAGTCAAGACGTTTTGTTGGATGGTATGACCAGCAATGCATTAGAATATCCTATAAAAAAATTGTAAAATTTCCATAATTTTTGCAAATAGTGCATAGAATAGCGTATAGAATTTACAAACAAATCATATAATACAAATGTACGCATGTTCTAAACTCATATGTACCTTCACATCACGGGAAGCTTGCAAATTTGCTAAAGATTGTTTCATTCCTTTTCCAACTTGCCAAACGATAGCTTCGGTAGGTTGACCTCTAAAAGGCCACTCACTACATAACAACTCATACCAGATAGTCCTATCGGAAAATATCTTTTTTCAATCTTTCATTGTTATTCATTTATATTTACACGTACACATTTGTCATACTTTTTAGAATAAATATAAATTTAAAATCGTCATCACTTATTAATTACAAGAAATAGTACATTCTAACATAAACCAATATTTTATCATTTTTTATTATATAATATTATGTAAATGATTAAATATATTATATATTTTATAACTTTTGGGATAGATCTAGAATTGCATACTTAAATATCGTAAAAGTACTAACCCAAATGCATACACATCAGAACCGATTGAATATGGTATTTTGTCCTGACCTCGATTTAATGGTCTTAGTCGGCGAATAATCTCAGGTGCTAAGTAACATAACCAACCTGGTGGTATATTCAATGCTTCTCCTTTCCTAAATATTTATATAAAATCAGCTTATTTTAAATATTAGAATACAACTTATTTAGCAGGAATAAATTTTATTCTAAGATATAATTTTACCTATTTCCATGGCACAATTTGGTAATATTAAACAGACCGAAATCTGATATCAGAACTTTTCTATTTTCTATAAATACGTTCTTGCTCCTAAGATCCTTGTGTATTATCTCACGAGAATGAAGATATTTCATACCCTATAAAATAAAATTAGTACAAGAATACACTATAAGATTATTCGAATATCTCCAATTTTTTTAGTAAAATTTTTAATACCTTAATTAAAATTTACGTTTCACTTATGTGTCTGTAATGCCATTTTTAATACATTAAGTTTATTCAATTAATAGTAATAGTTATATGCATACAGACAACATGGCTTAAAAAAATTTGAAAAATTTTACGCACAAATCAAGAGACACGGTAGTGTCTCACGCGAAGTACACGCGAAGCGAGATCGTACCGTGACTCTTTTACGCGAACGCACGAGTTGCGAGTACCCGAGATTTTGAGATCATGTTTACCTGACAAATCTGTTGAGCTATAAAATTCATTTCAGCTAAAGTATATCTGTCTCCTCCTAAATGAAGATGAGTGTAAAGTGTCGTGCCTCTAGACAAACTAGTCACTAGAGCCAATTGAGGTTTCATACAAACTCCCAAAAATAATATTAAATTGTCGTGCCGAGCTATTCGGCATGCAGCTACCTATAATAACCAAAAATATAAAATATCTATCATTATTATTTAAGCATAAAATCTCTTTATTATTTAATCATAAATACCTCTTAGTATTAACAATTTCAAGTTTTAATATAATCATATATTCTTACCTCTAATTTGAATGTTTCTAATATCTTGTCATCTTCCGAATAAAAACTAAAAATATTTAAAACTTTAATTGCAATATCTCCATGCCAAAAACCTCGATGTACTGTAGCAAATCTTCCTTTTCCTATCTGTTTTATAATCTTCAATTCATCATATGGAATGTCCCAGTCTTGTCCCATTGTCATCTATAAAATATAAACATTTTTAATTAGATACATTTTTTATTTTATATTTTTATCGAGAGATTAATCAGATGTAATACATATGTTACGGCCAATTTGATTAATTCGGGAATAATGGCCGAGCAATATGCATAATTCCCGCTTCTTTTGGGACATTTAAATAATAAAAGCAAAAATGTTCAAATTAATCAAATTTCCCGGTCATTATGCATATTTCCCAATGCTAAATGGTCATTTTGATAAATCACCTTATTTGAGTTGATTTTCCCGACAATCTTAGCCCCTTGCACAATAGGCGATAGCGATGCGAGGTGCTACATGGGTTTACAACTTTCCACGCGTGGAAAGCCCACGCATGTACTTTGAAGGCACACTATGTGTCTAGTTTAATAATAGTGGAGCCCCCCGCAGGGGAGGCGGAACCTACTGCCTCCACACATACACTTTCCACGCGAAACGAGG